CCGGAGGCTGAACTCCGGCGGCGCTCCGGGCCAGGGCGTCTCCGACGCCCTGGTCTGCATCCCCCCATAATCTCAAATGCATTGATTTTTATTCCTATCATCTTTCTTAACTGTCCAGCTCTCACATCCATCCATGGTAATAGGGAATATAATGGTTTGTATGATTCTAACTTTGGTGCTCAGTTGTGTATCTTTACATTTTAGGGTCTTTTCTAATTCTTTCATTGCAACCTTCCCCATTCCTAGTCTTTTTCTTAGTTCTTGACTGCAATCCCCATTCTGATCAATGCCCTTAGCACTCTTCTCCAGCACCTCATCTCAGATTACTTGCTTTTCTTCCTATCTGCTTCTTCCCTTTCCAGTTCTCACATTTGTACATGGAGATAAGGAATACAGTGGCTTGGATGACCCTTACTTTAATGTTCAGTTTATATCTTTTTCTTTTGAGGATCTTTGTCTAGATCTTTCATAACTGCCCTTCCCAATCTGAGGCTAGATCTACACTAAAGAAATAATCCAATTTGACACCTCTTTAACTCCATGCTATGGAATTCTGGGGTTTGTAGTTCCTGCCAGAGCTCTCTGACAATGAAGGATAAATTTCTCACGAAAACTAAAAATCCTAGAATTCAAAGATATAGCCATGTTAATCTGTAGAATCAGTATGTAGAGAGATCTTGTAGCACCTTTGAGACTTACTGAAAGAAAGAAGTTGGCAGCATGAGCTTTTGTAGACTTAAGTCTACCTCCAAATGCATCTGAGGAAGCAGACTTTAGTCTACGAAAGTTCATGCTGCCAATATCTTTCTTTCAGTTGGTCTCAAAGGTGCTACAAAATCTCTCTGCATACTGATTTTACAGACTGATATGGCTATACCTAATAATAATAATAATATGCATCTGAGGAAATAGACTTTAGTCTATGAAAGCTCATGCTGTTAATATCAGATCTCTCTGCATGCTGATTTTACAGACTAATATGGTTACACCTAATAATAATAATAAATTTGCATCTGAGGAAGTAGACTTTAGTCTACGAAAGCTCATGCTGCCAACTTCTTTCTTTGCATTAATCTCAAAGGTGCTACAAGATCTCTCTACAAATCCTACAATTCCATAGCACTGAGCCATGGAAATTAAAGGGGGTGTCAAACCAGATTATTTCCACAGTGCGGATGCAGCCCTAATCTTCCTTTGATTTCTTGATGGCAGTCTCCCTTCTGATCAATATTTGACCCAAGGCACTGCCCCATACATTTTCAGTTCCTCCAGAGACCCACAGAGAGTCATCACAGCCACTGTTTTGGACACCCAGAACTGACTTATGGTAGTGGTTTGGGTATTGGACAAGAGCACTTTTTAAAAGAACAAATATTATTTAAGCTAGTGGCCATAACATCCAAACTGCATTTGGCTACTTCATTTTCTGATTTAGTGTTATAATGGTGTAGGCCTATGGAATAGTGGTTTGAGTGTTGGGCTATGACTCCGGAGATCATGGTTCGAATCCTGCCTCGGTCATGGAAACCCACTGGGTGACCTTGGCTAAGTCACACTGTCTCAGCCTCAGAGGTTGGGAATGGCAAAAAAAAAAACTTGCTAAGAAAACCCCATGATAGGGTAGCTACAAGTCAGAAACAACATGGTTTTCATAGGGCTTTCTTAGGCAAGGGACACTCAGAGGTGGTTTTGCAGAGCAGGCAGAAGTCTAGCAAGTGCTATTGCTTTTTTCCCTCCCCATTTAGGGAGACTTCTACTGAGAACCGGAATTGAGGATGGCTTGGGGTTTTCCAAAATGTCTCTTTGCTGTAAATTGAGAATCTCCTTCCTGTAGTAAACCCTCCCTCCCCTTACTTTTGGCTTTTGAAAATAAGGAGTTGAAAATCCTTGGGAGGTGTGGATGCTGCAGGAAGAGGTGAGTGCCAAAAGCAAGGCAGATCCATGGAGAGAAAGGAAGGGGAGAAATTGCAGAAGAGGGAAGAGATGAGAGGAAAACATCAACAAACCAACAAACAAAAAGGTTGCCAATCCTGAAAGAGCAGACCCTCTTTCTATAAGGAAGCATCTTCTTGTCTATGAATGGCATCCCAAACCCACCAGAGAGAAATACCTTTATGGGGCCAACCAAGATGCACCAAATACATGTTGCAAGCTTTGGAAGCTTCAATGGCTTCTTCTTCATCAGGCAAAAAGGTTAACAATCATACAAAAATTAAAATCATACAGAATTTAAAAAAACAAAACCTACAGCTTTGCCTGATGAAGAAGAAGCCAGTGCAGCTTACAAAGCTTGCAACATGTATTTGGTGCATCTTGGTTGGTCCCATAAAGGTATCCTTGTCTGGTGGGTTTTAGGTGTTATTGTACTCAAAGAATTCATCTTCTCATTTATTCTTATTTTTCCATGTTATTTCTGCCACTAGTACCACTTTTTCTATTGTAGAAGTAATGTTCAGGAACATGTCTCCTTTGTTTGGCATTGCATTGGCCACCGTAGCATGTTGTTGACTTATGGTCCAAAACACACAGCAGAAATCATCCAATTCGAGACCACTTTAACTACCCTGGCTCAGTGGTAGGGAATTGTAGTTTACTGTGGCACCAGAGCTCTCTGACAGAGGCTAAATGTCTCACAAAACTACACTTCCCAGAATCCCCTACTATTGAGCAGGGCAGTTAAAGCAGTATCAGACTGGATTATTTCTCCAGTGTGTTTTGGACCGTTTGTTTAGCTTGAATTGCACAAGATCTTTTTCACATGTACTTCTGTTAAGCCATCTATCACCCCTTGTGTATTTGTATGTCATTTTTTCCTGCCTAAACATTGAGGCTGATGACAGGTTGAGTCTTCCTTACCCAGAATTCCAAATCTGAAATATTCCAAAAGCCAACAAAGTCCAAGTGGCTGGCTGAGGTAGTGACACCTTTGCTTTCTGATCCTTCAATATACGCGCATTTTGTTTTATGTACAAAATTGTTCGAAGAAATTGTCTATAAGATTGCCAATAAAATTAACTTCATACTATGTGTATAAGGTGTATATGAAACATAAATGAACATGTGTAGACTTTGGTGCACATTTCCAAGATATCTCATTATGTATATGCATTACGGTATATAGATAGGGATAGCCAGTGTGTCATAGAGGTTTGAGCGCTGGACTCCAAATCTGGAGAGCAGGGTTCGATTCCCAGCTCAGCCATGGAAACCCACTGGGTAACCTTGGGCAAGTCACACTCTCCCAGGCTCAGTGGAAGGCAAAGGCAAACCTCCTCTGAACAAACCTTACCAAGAAAACCCCATAGGGTCACCATAAGTTGGGAGAGAAAGCTGAAGGCACACAACCATCCATATGCAAATATTTCAAAATCTGGAAAAAAAATCCAAAATACTTTTCTGGTCCAAGCATTTCAGGTAAGAGAGATGCAACCTGTCCCTTACCTGGATCCCTGTTGAAATTCTATTAGTAATCTCTGAATTTGGAGCATCTTTAGCTTGGGATCTATCAGGAAATTGCAAGCTATGGAAAGAAGTGAATAGTGTTTGTTTTGCCTTGACTCAAGCTGTACCTTACATGTATCCCTGTTGAAATTCTTTTTATTAGTAATCTTTGGAGCGACCTAACCTTGAATCTGTCAGGAAGGTGCAAGCTATGGCAAAGAATGAATAGCATTTGCTTTGGCTGAGGTGGCAATGTTCCCTTTTGAATATTTTATGACCTTCTTTTCCCACCTCTCTTAGGAGAAGCCTGCCTGCTGTTTTATAGAAGAACTGTCCCTTAGGAGTTAGGAAGAAATTCATGAATTGATGGAAAACTGGAAGAAACTACTTCAGAAGCTTCACTTTCCCCTTTGAAGTTAGACTAACTGATGGAGACTTTGGGCCTTTGCAAACTGCTAGAAATAGTGCAAACTGAGTCCACTTTAACTGCCCTGGCTCAGTGCTAGGGAATCATGGGAATTGTATTTTTTTCTGGGACACTGAGCCTTCTCTGTCAGAGAGCTCTGGTGCCACAATAAACTACAGTTCCCATGATTCCCTAGCACTGGGTCAGGGCAGTTAAAGTGGACTCAATTTGCACTGTTTCTAGCAATCTGCAAAGGCCCTTTGAGTGTGGAGGTGAACATGTCTGTGCAAGGGGAAGAACCGCAGAGCACAAAGTTAAAGCTTGGGGTACAGAACATATCTGATGGCACTTTATGGGCAGATCTTCAGGGAGCAAAAAGCTCCAAGGTTGTATGTATGGAAGGGACTGGAGAATTACACACTGCTGCAAATCCACCACATGTAAAATGCGAACCAAAGGAAGGGATGCAAGAATGCTGGGAAGCCCAATGGCAGGCGTTCCTGAGGACTCTCCAGGTCCCTCACTCAGGATGGGAGAAGATGACCATCTCGGAGGAGACCATACCATGGGATGATGCTAAAACATTCCTGGCTTCCTTTGAGCAAGTCACATCCGTGTGCCGGTGGCCTCAGAGCAAGTGGGCAACCCTCCTCTTACCGGCCCTCACCAGACCAGCAGAGTGGGCATTTCATGACCTCAGTGTCCAAGACAGGGGAGACTATGGACGTTATCACACGGGGGCAAATCTGCTGGTTAATCCACACAAAACCCAAACAGAAACTGAATTAGTGCCCCGTGTTTTCACATGACGTCGCACAGAAACTGGACAGAAAGTGGACAGAAACTGGTGTTAACCGAGATCTTTTGAAATTCGGTTGTTTGGAGGAAATGCAAATGCAAAATTAAGGTAATTTCGCATTTACCGTAATGTAAATGTGAAAAAGCAAATGCAAATTTGGGAGCATTTCCCTGCTTTTCCCATTGTTCCAGCGAGCATTCCTCTATCTGTGCATGTGCAAGAAGCTCATTTCTAGTACATTTACAGGCTTTTTTCGCTTGTGTGTGGACGTTCAATACGCTTACTGTAAATTCGCAATTAAGCTAATGACGTTTGCGGAATTTAGGTTTATTTTCCGTTTATTTTCGGAATGCCTCATTTCCACTTTATTTTCACTTTTTGGCCCACGTGTGATAATGTCCTATGTCAAGGTGAAGGCAGCCATCTTGCAAGGGGAGGCCATCCTGAGGGAGAAGCAGCGCCAGCACTTCTGGCAATTCTGCTACCGGGACACGGACGGGCCGAGGGCAGTTTACGGTCGACTGAGGGAACTTTGCTGCCAGTGGTTGAGAGCAGAGAAGCATTCGAAGGAGGAGATCCTGGAGCTGCTGATCTTGGAACAGTTCTTGAGCATCTTGCCCCAAGAAATGCAGAGCTTGGTCAGGGAACGGGGCCCAGAGAGCTGTGCCCAGGCTGTGCTCCCAGCAGAAGATTTCCTTCTGAAGTAGGGCACGGTGAAACACGAAGGAGTGTTGAGGGGATGCTATGCTGGTTGTCTACTTGGGTCTAATCTGCACTGTAGAATTAACAGAGTTTGACACCTCTTTAACTGCAGTGGCTCCATCCTATGAAATCCTTGGATTTGTAGTTTGCTGTGGCACCAGAGCGCTCTGGCAGAGAAGGCTAAATATCTCACAAAACTACACGTCTCAGAATTCCATAGCATTGGATCATGGCAATTAAAACGATGTCAAACTGCATCATTTGCAGTTTGCACACTGCATTAAATCGCAGTGCAGATTAGACCTTTGGCCCCTAAAAGTGGTTTGAAGAGGCTTTTGATTCCCTGATTTTTTTATTATTATTATTATTTGGGGATCAGTGGAGCTCAATTGCCTAAAGGGAGCCGATAATAACAGGCTTTCTTGCCTGCAATGTGTGACTCTAAATTTAAGACTAGATTGTTGTCGTTGCTGTGTGCCTTCAAGTTGTTTCCGACTTATGGAGACCCTCTAGCCTTTTCCTAAACCCATGCGGCCATCAATAAAGTTGGCTTTTCTTTCTTGACTCCTTTTCCTTCATAACTGTATGATTCTGTTTGCTCTTTTCCCTCCTTTACTTATCCAAAATAGTTTTGTCTATTTTTATTGCAGGCTTGGGGGAAAGTGTGGCCCATGGGCCATATCCAATTCCTGGACCTAAGTTGTGTGTCTCCTGAAGACCCCTGCCAGTCTCCTCAAATCCTACCAATCTCTCCAAATTTGAAAAGGTTTTGGTGTGATATTCAAGCAATTTTTGACCCCAAATTACACAGAAAGCTCCCAAAGGGCAAAAACATATAGCCCCAGCACCCCAGAACCCAAATATCATTGCTTTTGAAAGAGTCCGTCTTAAAATGGCAACAGGAAGAGCCATTACATCACTTCCAGTTGCCAGTCTTTTTTTTAAAAAATTCTTATTAACACAAATACCGGTATTATTCTACAAATATAACTCATACCAAGAAAGAAAGAAAGAAAGAAAGCTAACAAAGTATCTCTGAAACAAAAGCTACTTCCTTCCCCAAAGCATTTGGGTATGCATGATTCTATATTTTATCTTCTTTCTGATGATAATAAATATACCTGTCTACTTCTAATGAATTGTAACTATTATTCAAACCCACATATTGACAAATACCCTCATTTTAATTGTAGAAATGTAATAAACCCCACTCTTTTCCCTTCTGAGAGGGACTCTGAAATAAAGCAGAGATATTTTGTCATGTTGAGAGGATACTTGGGAGAATTTATCCACTAGTCTCCAAGTAATCCCTGTTTTATTTCATTACAGCGAACCTGCAGCATACGCAGACTTGCCATACGCAGACTCTAGGTCAGGGGTCGGCAAACTACGGCCCGCAGGGCGAACCTGTTTCGTCAAGGCCTTGACCATCCCCTGGACCTCCCTGCCACTGCCGCCGCATGCCGCCTTTCTCTCTCATGTGTGTCTCCGGCCACCATTTTGTGTTCCGCCAAAAGTTTTTTGAAGCTGTTTAGATTGGTCATATGACAGATCTTGTCCAGAAGGTTGTTGCATAGTCTGGGAGAGGCTGCTGAAAAGGTCCTCTGGGAGGTTGCCAACAGCCTAGCTTTAATAGGCTGGAGCAAATTCCTCCCCGAGGACCTGAGTATACGGGCCAGATTATATGGAAGGAGGTGGTCCCAAAGATAGATTGGACCCAAGCCATGTAGGGCTTTAAAGGTGATAACCAACACCTTGTACTGGGCCCGGAAACTAATTGGCAGCCAGTGTAGTGATTTTAGGACCGGTGTTATGTGGTCTCTCCTAGATGTGCCGGAGACCAACCTGGCTGCCATGTTCTGTATTAGTTGGAGTTTCCGGACTAATCACGAGGGTAGCCCCATGTAGAGCGCATTACAGAAATCGAAATGAGAGGTTACCAGCGCATGTACCACAGTTCCAAAATCCCTTACTTCCAGGAAAGGGTGTAGCTAGTGTATCAGCCAAAGCTGATAACAGGCGCTCCTGACCATCGCGTTTACCTGATTATCTGCAGCAAAGATAATCTGCAACACCTGAGTATCTGCAATACCTGCCTAGCCCCCACAGACATCACAAGACTTTTGCAAATGGCAGGGGTATGGTTCCTTAGCTCTTTAGTAGCTGGGAGAGAGTGTAGAGCACTCCATCTGCAGCTGAAGAAAAGAAGAAGAAAAAATAGCTATCCCTCCTCTTCCTGGGTACATTGCGGTAACCCAAAAACTGCCCCAGAAATTAAACAGTCAAGGGAGTGTGTAGATGGCCTTTGCAAAACAAAACAAAACAAAACATCCACACTCTGGAAGCTTTAGCCAAGTGGGATTATATTACAAGGGTCAAGGGTCATCCAGTCCAACCTAATTCTGCCATGCAGGAAGACACCTTCAAAGCTCCCCCGACAAGTGGCCATCCAGCCTTTGCTTCAAAACCTCCAAAGGAGGAGAGTCCACCACCTTCCAAGGCAGCATATTCCACTGCCAAACAGCTCTTATCATTAGCAAGTTTTTCCTAATGTTTAAATGGATTCTCTTACTCTGTAGTTTGAATCCCTTGTTCCATGATTTCTGGAACAGCAGTAAACAATCTTCTTCCATCTTCTACATGACATCCTTTCAAATATTAAAACATGGGTATCATGTAATACAATATCCTCTTTAACTTCTCAGCTTGGATTTTTGCTGATGTATACATTTATCAACCTTTTGCGCTTTAAGAAGCAAAGGCAGCATGTGTTGACAGCACAAAAAGTTTGCCCTAAATAACTCTGGGATTGGAATCTGCACAGACACAGAGGAAAATGGATCACTGTCAGGGTGCCATCAGCCATCCCTAGGCTGGCTTGAACCACCATCCTTCTGGTTAACAGCCAGACAACGCTAACCCATTGCACCACAGAGACCTGGACAATGTTCCCTCTCTATTCTCCTGCCCTGAGGTTTCATGCATGAGTCTTGTTCAGGGAGAACCCACTCAGAAGCCGTCAAAGGTCCCTTGCTGTCATCTAGCAGAGTGGCGCAGCAGGAGCGTGCTGGGCCCATAACCCAGAGGTCGATGGATCAAAACCATCCTCTGCTAGCCAGCTGCAGCTTCATTTATATACGGCTGCATCCTTTTGCTTTTGTCATCGGCATCAATAAAGAGAGATGGAGAATCATTCCACTGCTGGCAATGCTAGCTATATTGTGTGCTAAGAATATGCAAAGAAATTTTCTGTGCTGCCCTTTTTGACAAGAGATCCAGAATCATCCACACTTTGCCTCAGAACTAATGCCTTTGGCAGAGGGAACCACAGGGCAGACTTTCCTTTCAAGAGCCAAATCCTCAGTGGTACAAAAATGACTGACTTCTAGAGGGATTCCATAGAGAGGAATCCTCTTAGGCTTTCTTGCCTGCAGAGTGTTTGTACCAGGGAAGGAAATGCATTTCATCAGTTGTACCAGTGGTGTAGAGGTATCATGCAAGGTTCCCAACCTTGTGACCCGGGTTCGAGTCCCGGCTGGTGCACACAGCTCTTGTACTTTTGCCCTTCCAAGAGATAAAGAGGCTGCAGCCAACCAGAAATTACAGCACAGCTTCTCTATGTAGTGTGGTATTTGCCAGGGTTTAATTAGGATTTTATTCAGGTTTTCATTTGCAAAGGTTTAATTAGGACCCATGCATATTGAGAAGTGAAGAGCTTGCTGAAAAATGGGAGAGGGACACCTAAATCTCTTTTGCCAGTTGTTTGTGAACATAAACAACCAGGACACATGAGTCTTGCTCTGCATATGAGAGGAACAGAACGTGAATCCTCAAGAAGCCAAACAAAGTGCATAGTTTTCCCTCTCTCCGTGACAAATAAGGCCTCTTTGGTGGTGGTGGAGGAGGAGACGACAGAGACAGAGAAGTTAAAAAAGACATCTCATCTTTATCCATCCCTGGTAGTCTAGTGGTTAGGATTCAATGCTCTCACCGCTGCGGGCTGGGTTCAATTCCCAGCCAGTGAAGCTTTTTGCATCCTCCCTGCTTTCCATATCATTCACCATTTGATAAATGTGGGTTGTTTTTTTATTTCAGTATGCTGAAAATGGATGTGTAAAAGCAAGGCATCTGGCCTGTTCCTCCCCTGCAGGTACTTAGCACAGCAGGTAGCTAAGCAGTGTCTGTGTCTCACGATCTGAAGGTACTCCTGAGGCTGAACCTAAGAGAAATCACCTGGCAGCACTCTCTGCTTCGGTGAGAAGTCTTGGACTCTGGAGCTTTTGCCCTTCCAAGAGCTAAAGTGGGAAAATTCATGCAGTCTTCGTATTGTTTGTATTCCATGCAAAAGATAATTCCTGTCCCATGCAATATTCTTATTACAGGCTGCGTCTCCCTTATCTAGAATTCCAAAATCCAAAATACTCCATAACCTAAAACTTTTTTCACTGATATCTGAGATAGCGGTACTTTTGCTTTCTGATGGTTCAATTACACAAACTATGGTCCAAAACACACTGCAGAAGTAATCCAGTTTGAGACCGCTTTAACTGCCCTGGGCCAATGCTGGGGAACTCTGGAAACTGTAGTTTTGTGAGACATTTAGCCTTCTCTGTCAGAGAGCTCTGGTGACACTACAAACCACAAATCCCAGGATTCTCTAGCACTGAGCCAGGGCAGTTAAAGTGGTCTCAAA